TTATAGAGTGTATTATCTTTGTGGGAGTATAGGCATAAAATTAACCACCCTCTAGTTAGTGATCTGATTGCAAAGCATTCCAAACCCAGAATATGTATGACGGGATTCCTAGCTAAGGCTGATAATACTGTGCCAACTAATGCCTGTTAAACAAGTTGGAAGAATATTTGCTGTAGTTAGGAGTAGGATTGAGGGTTAAAGGATCAGCACAGATAAAGATCAAACGCTTTGTGGATCTTGGTGCCTCCCGAGATTCTGGAACTATGAACATGTACAATGTCGCTTTCAAACTTAGATAAGCATTCCTGAGTTTATTAATTTGAGTTTTGTGGGAAGGGAAAAACTTTTGTCTGGAGATGAAAGAAGTCAAATGGAGTCCATTTGCTGGAATGAGTTGTTGCGTGTTTTCTTTTAAGATGCCTGAGTGTTGTATTAAATGTTCTTTAATAATAATAATTATTATTAGTCCACTTACTGCCCTATGACTAATAATGATCCTTGCATTTATCGTGGCACGTTAACATACTGAAACTTTGCAGAGCGTTTCACAGAGATTTCTGTGATCTCTTGCATTTGAAATGGCACCATATCATATCAATACACATCACATCAAACTTGACAGCCAGTTTGCCACAGCATTGTCGCAAAAAAGGCCATGAGGTGAATGACCACATTTTTGTCTGGAGGATTATTAGCCAGGACACCCAGGAGAAACACCTTATCTCTTTGTACAGTGGCATAGTATCTTTAACATTCACCTGGACAGGGAGTTGGGGGCTCAGTTTAACGTCCTATCTGAAGGACGACAACCCCAGCACTGCATTGAAGTGTCAGAGCTCGAAGTCTCTATATACGTCTTTAACCCCCCTACCTGTGAGCGTACTGAATGTGTGTAATGCACTGTAGTATAGGGGGGTTTGGTGGTGGCTGTTGACCATTGATACCAATTGCCCAGCTCCAGTGTTCGGATACACTCTTGAATTCATTCCAGAGTGGTGTGAAATTCTACATGTAAACCTTGGTTACATTTTCTGAAATAATGGCCACCAGAGGATACTAGTAATTTTGAAGGTGGATAGTCGTTCGCATTTATGGTGGTGGATTTACATTGCTGCTTGCAATGTTTTATTAGATTGAGTTAGCGAATACCCACTGCTCATCTAATGTAGGAAATTACTGCCACTTTTTAAATAAAAAAATTCCATTTTACATGAGAATTGATGATCTAATATTACATTCTCCAGTGAAGGGGTGAGATGGTGTCATCTGATATTGTTGCTCTACGCCTGGCCCAGGAGAGATGCATAAAGAGTGAATACCATGTCTTGTCTTTCTTTGAATGTGTTCTTTTTAACCAACAGTGCATTGGAGCTCTTAATGTAGGAAATTGCCATTGAAATTATAAATTGTTTTTTTAAGCATCCTGCTCCTTAATCTGCAGAGCCTGGTTTTTAAATGTTCTTGGAATTTTGAAAAATTATTCAGAAAGAGAACACAATAATTCAGTGAGAATCAAACGTATACAAGAGGCAGGAGAAAAGTAAAGGTGTTTTAAACCTGAATCATTCTGTGTGTGCTTTAATCTTCCTGATATCTTCAGAATTGAACAGGATGCAATGTCCAGTGTAGTCAGCTGATTACTCATCCTGGAATATGAAGCACTTTATTGCTTCCAACAAATCCAGCCATGCCGTTCTTGTTTCATAGATTGGAGCATGTGGATAAGTTTCCTGTAGCAAATGAGCCAACATTCACACAATTGTATTTTAGTCAAGAAATATTGACACTTTTTCATATTACTAATTTGGGATGTTATTAATCACTTGAGAAATTAGGAAACCAGTTACAGAACCAAAATGTTTGTCACATTGTTACCCTTCTTGTTGCATCACCAGGAAAATGAATAAAGATTTGTCTAGCTTATTGGAAAAAATGCAAAATCTGAATCTGTCAGAATTTTAAGTTGAAGGCACGCATTCAATGTGGCAGAAAGCAGCTGTGTAACCACCTTCTTCAATAAAATTCTTGACCCTGATCCAAGCTCAAAGGGTTGTCGACACATAGGAGACATTGACTGCATGGCTACCCAGGCATTTTATCCACTTTCAATGGATCCAAAATATATATATTTAAACACTTTAATACCTGTTTATCTTCTGAACCACAGTGCATTAAATAAACCAAAAGGATATTTGCATTTACGATATAGGTCTCATTTCAAAAGGTGTTTGATTTGTTGCCGTATATGAAGAGGGTTAGAAAAAGTTAAGGCCTATGGTACTAGCGGCAGTGTTGCAATATTGATGTAAATACATTGGAACCCAATTATAGTGCGTCCATTAAACCCGACCAGAGCTGCAATGGGGCACAATTGTTGGTCAACCCTGCTACATTCATGCAGAAAAATAGCAGGCTGCATAGCCTTTCAAATGGCTTCTAAGTGCATGCAATATTGGATTTTTAGCTAAGTAAATGTCAGATCCAGTGTCAGGAACAACCCAGTTGTGCTATAAGGAGACATATATCAGAAGCTGGTTCCACTGTAGATGTGTCCAGTAGGGATTGATGAAGGGACCATTGCTTTTATCCATTTAAATAACCTTGGCTAGCCCAATTCAAAATTTGTCGATGGCAGGAAGATGGGGAGCGTGGCTAATTGTGAAGAGGACTGAAGGAGGACATGGGCAGACTGGTGGATTGACCAAAAAGATGGCAGATACAGTTTAATGCAGAATAGTATGAGATAATGTATTTTGAAAGGATGATTGTATATATTCAGTATACAGAATATTCAGTGTACAGCATGTACTGTAAAGTGAATTAACTGTATATTTTGTGGGCGAAATGCGATTTTGCGAGTCTGTAAGGAAGAGATCAAATGTTCCAAAGGGCCTATTTCATCTTAACCTCTGTTGTGATCCTGTGAATATTCTTTTCTGACATGCAGAAAGCCTCTTTATTTGTATCCAAGACTGATTCTGACCTTTTTCAAAGAATCATCCGTTACATAGCCCTTATTGCCCTGTTTGAAGATTGACATTTGTGCTGTTTGATGTGCAAATCTGAAGTGATTTTCACAGAGTGCCCTTGATCATTTCCATGGCATGTAGCAAGGCCTAGGAATTTGTTTATGTAAACTAACAGCCTTGCAAGAATTGGGATTGGCAACCGTTCAGTACACCCTAACCCTTGGTGTGATATTTTGAAGTGTTGTTAGAGGCATGTGTCTAGGATATTTGGATTATGTTTATGTAAAAGCTCAATGGTTAAATGTTATAGTAGGTTTCTGAACTGCCTTGTGCGTGCCTCCCAGGCCCCCGTTGGCAGCTTTGTTGATCTGCATTCCAACAATCTATCTCTGGGATTTCAACGTGGAGGTGGGATGCATGGAAATCTCAGCTTGGTTTGGATACTCTTTGAGCATGAGCATGTGTCAGACACTCGGCTGACCAAAAAAAAGAATGCTAAATTGGTTATATGCAGTAAGTTGAAGGAATTTGTAATGAGAAACGGTGATAACTAACTATAAGGAGCATGTATAAATGTTATTTAGCCTAACAGTCCCATTCCTTGATCATATATAATTTGCTCTATTTTGGATTCAGCCCCACTTTCTGTCCTGTGAACGCCAACCAACCACAGTAAACATCCTCCTAAAGTAATCCTGAGAGAAATCAGTGTACCTTCCAAGCCTGCATCGTTTGTTTGAAGCAGAACAAAAAACATTATGCTCTGTAATAAATTTGATCAGAGCTCAGTTGGTAAAACAATTGGCTGGAGGTAAAATAAAGCTGCACAGAACTGGCAATGTTGAGTTAGTTGGTTTGAGTTTGGGCAGCAGTAGGGGTGTTACAAATGGACCCTGTGTTTCTTGGCTAGGTTTGTCTCCTGATTGTTATCCAGCAACCGCTGTTGGGAGGTGCTAATGCTGGCTCCAGATAGAATCTGGCTTTATTATTATTCTCGTCCATCAAATAGTGTACTGGTACTGATATCTAAGCTCATGCATAAAGAATGAGCACTTAGGTGAAGTATTAGAAGGCCTCTTCACCCAAGTGAAAACAGCAAAGCAAGCTTATTTTGCTTTAAGCTTGTATGTCTCTATTTTTCAACTCTGTTTTCAATTGAAGAACAGTCATGACATTGCTATGTGCAAATGACTGTTGTGATTGCCTACAAAATTTCATAGTGAATTCTGTGAAGCGCTTTGCCATGTCCTTTCTAATGTGAAAGATCCGATATCAAATGCAAGGATTATTTTGTTTTTTTTTAAATGGCAGTTTCTCATGGAATCATTGCAGAATAAACATTGAGGGGAAGGCTGGAGGAAAAACAGCAAGACAATCTTCTATAGGTCTCCATTTTTCATTCTATTTTAATTGCTTGCAATAATAGTGTCATTTATAAATGGGTTAAATCAGACAGTTAATATTTTATAAAATGTGTGCACTTATTTGATGGCAACAGGAATCCTTAGGGGTTTAGGAGGATGAAAATGGCAGTGTGTGTCAGAATCATTGTGCCTTTCGTTGTAGTGGAAGGAAAGTTAATAATAATAATCCTTGCATTTGATATAGCGCTTTTCACGTCTTCTAGACGTCTCAAAGCTCTTCACAGAATATACTGTAAAGTGAATTGACTGTATATTTGTGGGTGAAAGGCGGCAGCCAGATTGCGCACAGCAGTGTCCCACAGACAGTTGTGGATTGAAGTAACCAATTTATTATTTTTTTTTGAGGGATTATTATTAGGCGTGTGGAGTAAGGAAACTTGCCCAAAGTTTCGCCCTGCCGGGAATCGAACCCAAGACTCTCGCTTGAGAGGCGAGTGCTCTAACCACTGAGCTACAGGACTGCACATATAAACTGCACGTTACACAGATATTGTGTAACATGCAGTTTTTAACTTTCCTGGAAAATAATTGTATTCACAATTGTTTGTTCTGTCACCAATCGAGAATCCCTGATCTCTAATTCTGTTCAATCTCTCTTTTTTTCAAGGTAAAAATTTGTACACAAATGAATACGTGGCAATTAAGCTGGTAAGTCTATCAATTATTGTTTCTGTTGGGTGTTACTAATGCTATTATAAATGTCCATGTCAGCTTAAACTATACCAATATTTCTATTGGAATGTCTCAGAATATCTTCCAATAACCCTTAGCAGTAATGTATGCTGCAGTAATTAAATATTAACCTGTCGTGGTTTCATTTCTCATGACCTGGTGTTCTGTTTGTCTAGGTGTGTATTGTATGGTAGTTGTCCGAGATGAAAAGTGGGCTAAGTTCAAGGAATCTGTTTCAATATCCATGTTTGTGCTATTCTCCTTATTCTTGTTTCATGGAGAGTATTTCTCCTGGGTGGACAAAATATTTTTCATTGTCAAACTTTTTTTCTCTCAGTTTCGAGCTGCGAAATATCCCTAACTATCGTGTAGATTCTTGCTAATAAATCGCCTCCTCTTACCTCTACACTACTGGGTCGGTCCAGAGGATTTTTGTTTTGGGGTAGAGGGGAGTTCCCTCCCTACAAACAAAACTGTCTGAATGATATGGATTACCCAGGTGCTAGAGAAATTAACCGATAATTTCCCTCCCTTCCTGAATGTGCTGATGTGTCCTGGGTATGGTTCCCCTATCTCATTACCCAGGTGATCATTTGACCGCTCAATATCCACACAGCTGCACTCTCCAGCAGTGGTCACTGTGATCACTGTTGGACAGTGCAGGAATCCTTGGGTGTCTGTCTGATCTTTCCCTTTTTTTATTAAAATTGCTTAAAAAATCATCCTTAGATCAGGGAGCGCTTCGACCACTTTAGTACTTTCCTGTTGACTTGGCGAGACCAGTTAACTGGACCACAGATTGAGTCCACAATGTTTTGAATTTGAATGGTGCAGCCTTCCATTTGGTAGCTTTTTGTAACATCTGACTCATCATTTATGCAATTGGTACAGTCGAACCAGGCTGACTGCTTGGTCTATGCTTGGTTCTCTCAGCTGGGAAAGAGCTAATGGAATTAAATTAGCTTCACCATCTGAGGTTGGGAAATGAGGGATCCTGATCGTTATCTGCTGGATGCAGTTGCACACGTGCAGGCAACTCCTGCTTTAAGGGATCTCTGGATAGCGAGAGCCTCAAAGACTGTCAGCATTCCTTATTGAGACTCAGGCATGAATAATGAGCTCCTGTGTGCACTTGTGCCGTCCATGGAACTATACCCAGCAAGGTGTCAGTTTCTTTGAGGGAGGCGGGAAGCGAAAGCAAACTTAAAATGACCTCTGCTGATCGTTATCTGGAGCTGATGAAAATTTCAAATGAATATGAACATTATTAGCAGAGAGATGCAGCTTGAACAAACTGCAGGGGATAACCTGTCCTTGAATTACAGCTTCACCCAATTCTACTGAAGTGTTGTAGCTCGGGAACTTTAAGGGGCCGTTAGGTTAGTGAGTGATGTGCAGTCTGATGGCCATGATTCAAACTTATGCTTTAAATGAAGATGCCTGGAGCCGCATACTAAATGCTCCCAGTTTTGTTGAAGTGGTGCTCAGTTATGAGCTGGGAAGTTATTGCTTCAAGGGAGCTCACTCTCAAGTGTGGCTCGGAGTATGAAATACTAATAGCATGAAATGCTCAAGTCTGGTAATAGATGCAGCATGTTTGTCTTGCAGTTTATTCCTGGCGTTGCTGTTTTCAATTAGAATGTCACCTTTACTGTGGCTTTCAAAACCTCAGTGTGCTGTAAGAGCTAGGAAACTATGGCTGTGATGTTAGCTCTGCACTGTTTTGAACAGAGATGAATGTTAATTGCCTTGCTCTGGTGGTTTCACAGCTTACAGATAAGTCTGGTTCTCACTCACTAAGTTGACCTTGTGGGGAGAAGATCCAAATTCTTATTTAACTCTGTAGTTTAGATAGTTCAGAACCAAAATATGATTTGGCAATTTCATATCCGGATGGGTCATGTTTCGAGCATGCTATTGAGCACCAGCACATGAGGAGTGCAGGAGGATCAGGTGGCAGCTTACTGTTATATTCAAAGTGTGAGAGACTCTATGCTAATCCCCACTGAGGACTTTAATTCTGTTTATAGACACATTAACATATAATATGTAATCCACTCTGTGAAACATCTGTCCTCATTACAGTTGCTTCTGACTGTTCCAAAATTATGCTGCCCAATAAATATATACATAAAATGAGTGACCTACACTGTGGTCAAGGTTACTTGTGTAATATTTTTCATGTTTTATAGCATCCTCTCTGGATTTATTGCCTACAAAGTGAGAACTGAGAACCCAAAAATAATGGTTCAGTTAATAATGTGCTGTAAGGTTTAAATTGAACAGCAGGGTTCTTTTGAATAATTGTGGATAAATATGTTGCTCATTTCAGGAATGCCATAGTAGTAGTTGTGAAAATCTTGATTCTTAGCATGGGAACAAAATTCTCTGCATTGAACCCTCCCTCCTTGCTATTTTTCATAGGAACCTATGAAGTCCAGAGCACCACAACTTCACCTGGAATATCGATTCTACAAACAGCTGGGATCTGGAGGTAAAGTCAGAGAAAATGGATACTTTTCTGTTCGTGAACTGATCCTGTTTTTTTGTCGGTACTGATGATGGCCTTGGTTTATCTGTTTAAAAGTCTGATGCCTGTTGCCTACATGATTGACAACCTGCAATTTGGCAGCCCCGTTGGTGGTGTGGATCAAGCTTAATTACGGGGAGCTCAGTGGTTCAAATCTCTGAGTTTGCTGGAGTCAGGCAGAGTTGCATGGGAAGCTGAATTGCTTCTAGACTTCCCAGGCTAAGGGAGGGGGGAAATCAGGATCAGCTACAATGCTTTCTGCAGTTGAGGGGGGGGGGTATCCCTGAAGGCCAGCGAGCATGGAGAGGCAGGGATGCAGGCTAGCAACAGGAGTCTACATGTGCAGGGCCCATAGAATTTTTTTCTGTTTCGGGCCTGGTCTGGCTTGGACTGAATTCTGGAAACTCAGAGTCCGATAAACCAAAGATTTATCATAATAAAAGCATAAGGAGATTTGGTAGTGAACAACTCTTCCCTTTGGTCGAGGCACCCATTCCAAGCGGCATAACCTTAAAATCTGAGCCAAGACAATTAGAATTCGTCGGAAGCATTTCTTCACACACAGGGTTGTGAAGATGTGGATGCTTTGATGCAGAAATCTGTAGAGACTTTATCAATAACTTTGTTGAAGAAAGACAAACGGATTCAGTAGAAACCTGGTCACCTCGGTAATTCAGCCGCCCCACAATTGCAGGCACATTTTCACAGTCTCTTTTCATTGTCAATGTGAAAAGATAGGCTGTCTGTCGGCTTCAGTAAACCGGGCACCTCACTATTCAGGATAACAGTCATTGATTGCGGCCGCAACAGTGCTCTCTTCCGGTACAAACGCGGTACAAACAGCCCCCTCCGCTACTAATCTGTACACTGTGCACTAGGCCTTGGGCTTCTCGTGCTATTTCCTTGACGCTGCTACTGTGGCCGGTCGTGCATGCGCGGCGCGGGGAGTGTTGGGGTTGCGGAAAATCGACTTTGCCTGGTGCCTGCGGCCTAACCTGAGCTCTTGCAGACAATTCTTGGTAAGTGCTGTATTCAGAGCACATGGTTTGTATTTACATTGTTTGTTTTGATTTAGCGATTTAGTGACTGTTGACAAGTGTTGTAAACATGCCTCATGGAAGGAATTGTCCTTGTGTGAGAGAGTGGACTTAATCAAAAACAGCGAGGGCAAAAGTCATAGACAGTTACCTGTGATCTATGGCATTGACAGAACACAAGTTGTTGCATTCTCAAAAGGAAAGCTGAATACTTGACAGCTTTTGTTTTAAATGTGACAGACGGTGCCTTTGTTTTAATGAGATTGCAAAGTATGGTGGTTCAATGTTCATCACCCTGCCCATTACCAATGCCCTTAACATTACATCAGTGACCTGAATCACCCGAACTGTTTCAGTAATCAGGTCACCTCTAAGTGGGTCACTTTTGCCCAGTCCCTTGAGTGACCGGATTAGTGAGGTTCTACTGTACTTCGATAGCAGAAATTTTTAAACTGTATGGGGAGAGGGCAGTGCATTAGGATTAAAAGATCTGTCAAAATATAATAAAGAAGTAGAACAGATTTGATGGGTTGAATAGCTTCGCCCTGTTCCTGTCTTCCAATGTTCCCACACAATCTTTATTTGAACTGGAATCAAAATGTGCAAAACGTTTGGTATGAGTAAATGTTTGACTGTTGATGCATTGTTTTCTTTGGTCTGGTATTGTGAAATGTGGCAGGCCCAGTTCAGTATCAAGGTACTTTTTTTTCAATGGTTGTATATAAAGATTGAATTGTAAACATTGCCAAAGTTTTTCCAGTCTGGTTGCTACATAGTTTGTGAAGATTGTCAATTGGTTCAGATAAAGTTTGAAAATCGGAAGTTACTCGTAACATTTCAGGAAGCGTTAAAGGTCAGCAAACTGAAATTGCAGCAATATGTTCCTGGTTGAGATTTTTATTGCCGTTGTTTTTACTAACTATCCTGTATCCAACATTTTAACATTTTTTTAGTTTTAAAAAAAATACACTGCAGAAAGATTGCAGAATAAACTAGCTTAATGGTGTGTTTGACCTCTGTCTTGCAGTCAGACTTCCTTTGCAGTGAGGAAGGCAGGAGTCCCATCTTTGTGTAAATATTGTACTTGGAGCAACCCATGAGCATAATCCAGCTGCTCTATTGAAGTTTCTCCCAATACAAATCCAGGTAACACTTGAAGTAATAATGAGCTTAATCACCTAAGGAATTGGGGAGTTCCTGACATGCAACTTAATCTAGAGAGTATGATTGATCTTCAGCATTCTTCAATCTTGGTCTGTATTTTATTTTTGTATATAAAACTTTTTTTTTGCATGGGCAGAAGTGTGTGTGTCTGTGTGTGTGGAGGGGAGGAGGAAAAGATATGATGTTTAGGAGTATTTCAGGACCTGTCTTAACAATTTTATCTTGAATCTGTTTCTTTTTTTCTTGAAACTATTCACCCTGTTTCTCCTTCAAGCCCCCTCCCAATTTTTAAAAAATGATATACCCAAAATTAGTTCAACACAAAAAATTGGAAAATACCCTTTCTTGTGGCCATTCCTCGAACGTTCGTTTTTTTCCGTGTCTGAGAACACTGAAACATAAGCTTATATTGTGGTACCCAGCAAGGTGCTCTCGCTCTCCTCTGATACTCACCAGCTTTTATGGAGCATCTCTCAATCCCTGAGCGTATTAGCCATCTGCTGGAAGAGAAGTTTGATCTATAAATAGCTTGTAAACAGAGTAGTTGAAAGTGTTTGAGGACACAATACCTTCCTGTTGGTTAATCTATCTGGTGGGTGGCGGATACGTTTTTGATTTCTGTGCCCGTCAGTAGAAATAAAGTGAGTTTAAAAATAACCCACTTAAAAAAAAATGGCAACCATGCAAGTGGAGTGACTTTTAAGCTGGGATGTAAAAGCCAGGACAAGAACATTGTAGCTTCTGGGTTAATGACTGTTAATGACTGGACAGTGCAGCACAATGTTTTGTCGCTATTTCTAAAATATAGGTGACCCCATTAGAATTCACCTGGTTTAGTGCTGGTTATCTTAGAGGATTGTACTGTGGACCTGTGCACCTCCAGCTTCCAGCATTGACTGACTAACTTTTTGCAGGCGCACGCTCTCTGCTACCATCACTTCCTTCACATTGCGCATGTGTTCTACCAACAGGAAACACCCACTGACGTCACTTTGAAGGAAGTACCGTCAGCGGTGCTTCATGCCTACAGGAAATAATGTCAACACAACCATGTCCTGACGACCCTGGAAGCGCTGAGCTGTGACCATTTTTAGTGCACTTCCTTAAAATGCAAGGTCTTAGTTCATGGACCTAAATCACTGTGTTATAACAAGATTATTTTGTATTTCTTAGAATTTTGTGATTTGAGTTTGGAAGGGTTTCTGTAACATGAATCTGTTTCCCTTGTTGTATGTTGTTGTAGATTCTCCGTTTTTTTTTCAAAGCTTGATCTAGAGTAGGGTGGTCCAATCTTTTGGCTGCTGAGGGCTGGATGTTGAACGTGGGAAGCGTCTGTGTGGGTGCATAAGCAATATTTTTGTGTTTCCCTTTCAGAAACATGATGTGACCCCACGTGAAGGGTGTTATATAAATGCAGTTGTTGTTGTAACATTTACAACAGCGCCTTTCTCACATCAGAAGGACGTCTCAAAGTACTTGTTACTGACTTATACTTACTTATAGTTTCACTCATCAGTTCGGAGATTCTTCATCTAAAAGCACATAAATCCCCATCAAACTTTAAAGGAAAAGCTCTTAGTTGGTGCACATGTACTAGATACATTAAATACGTTGTGTTTTGCCTTCATATTTTCAGGAAATAGCAATGAGTATTTTAACTCCTGTTTTTGACTTAATTATTTTCCGATGCATCAAAATGTCACCTTTTTATTTCTTTCTCACCAACGCTGGGAAAGTGAAATATTTTATTATAGTAATCCATACATTTGATATCGCGCCTTTTACGTTAGGAGGAAATCTCAATTTGCTTCTCAGCATATACTGTAAAGTGTAGTGACGCACAGTAGTGTCTCACAAACAGCCATGAAGTGAATGACCCTTTAATTTAGGGGACTGATGGCCAGGGTTACCGAGACGAGCTCCCATCCTCTTTTCGAATGGGAGCACTCTCGCCTCTGTCAGGGTTCAAGTTCCACGTCAGCACTTTGAGCTCAGAATCGAGGCTCACACTTCAATGCAATGATGGGGGAGCGCTGCATTGTTGGAGGTGCCATCCTTTGAGACATTAAACCAAGGCCCTGTCTGTTTGTTCAATTGGAAATTAAAAGTCCCATGGCACTATTTGAAAGGAGCAGGAAGTTTTCTCCTGATATCCAAGTGGGACATTGGTTTGAACAGATTGGCTGCCGAGTTCGCCTATAAATACACGGTCACTACACTTTAAAATCCTGTGAAGCACTTTCAATCGTTTTGATAAGGCGCTATACAAAATTACATTTGTATTGCGCTTTGCATGTCGAGAGGACGTCCCAAGACACTGGACAGTTAGGGATTTGAACCCGAGCAGGGAAGGGGGTTGGGATATGGGAGGGTAGGAGGGTGGTCGAAGGCTCAGTCGAAGAAGAGAGTTTTGAGATTCGCTTTAATAATAATAATCCTTGCATTTGATATAGCACTTTTCATGTTGGGAGGACGTCCCAAAGCGCTTCACAGAATATGCTGTAAAGTGAATTGACTGTATATTTGTGGGCAAATGCGGCAGCCAATTGCGCACAGCAGTGTCCCACAAACAGTCGTAGATTGAAAATGACCAATTTATTATTGTTTTTGGTTTTGGAGGGATTATTATTAGGTGTGTGGAGTAAGGAAACTTGCCCAAGGTCTCGCCCTGCCTGGAATTGAACTCAGGTCTCTCACTTGCAAAGCGAGTGCTCTACCACTGAGTTACAAGGAGGCAAGGGAGGGAGTGAGGCCAACAGATTG